AGCATGCTTGTAGCGACAGTGGAGAGGAAAAACTCCCTTTTAACAGGAAGAAACCTCCAGCAGAACCAGGCTCAGTGTGAGCGGCCATCTGCCGAGGCCGACTGGGGTTCAAGGAGACAGAAGCAGAGATACAAAAAGCAGCTGTAAAAGGCGGCCCCGTCCAGGAAACACACAGCCAGGCAGACGAGCTCCAAGGCAGCTCCCATGTCAGAGGACGAAGAGAGCACATCCACTCAGTCATGGTCAGAGAAACAGGACCACACTGGAAAACAGGCCGATCTCCAACATCTATAAACAAGGGTGTTGATGGAAGCAGCACAGCTGATGTTTCTTTCCAGGATGACGTCACAGCCAAACAGGAACAGACGAGGCAAAGCTACTCTGAGGAAAAGCAGAGAGAGCAGAAGGTTAGAGATTGAACTAACAGATTCTGCAGAATAGGAGAACAGAGAGAGAATGAAGCAGAATGATGAAATGGGGGTCCCTATGTCCTCCAGCAGTCTAAGCCTATAGCAGCATAACTATAGAGATAGCTCAGGATAACCTGAGCCACCCTAACTATAAGCTTTATCAAAAAGGAAAGTTTTAAGCCTAGCCTTAAAAGTAGACAGGGTGTCTGCCTCACGGACTAAAACTGGTAGTTGGTTCCACAGGAGAGGAGCCTGAGAACTAAAAGATCTGCCTCCCATTCTACTTTTAGAAATTCTAGGAACCACTAGTAAACCTGCAGATTGAGAGCGAAGTGCTCTGTTAGGAACATAAGGAACAATCAGATCTCTGATATCAGATGGAGCTTGGCCATTTAAGGCTTTATATGTGAGAAGGAGGATTTTAAATTCTATTCTTGATTTAACAGGAAGCCAATGAAGAGAAGCCAGGATAGGAGAGATATGATCTCTCTTTTTCATTTTCATCAGAACTCTGGCTGCAGCATTTTGGATCAGCTGAAGGCTTTTAACTACAGTTTGTGGACTTCCTGATAGTAAAGAATTACAATAGTCCAGCCTTGAAGTAACAAATGCATGGACTAGTTTCTCAGCATCACCCCTGGACAGGATATTTCTAATTTTTGCAATGTTCCTCAGATGAAAGAAGGAAATTCTAGAAACCTCTTTGATATGGGATTTAAATGACAGGTCCTGATCAAAAACAACACCAAGATTTTTTACTTTATTATCTGAAATCAGTTTAATCCCATCCAAATGAAGTGACTGGCTAATCAGTTTCTTTTTCAGAGACTCTGGTCCAAAGACTATAACTTCTGTTTTATCTGCATTCAGAAGCAGAAAGTTAAGAGTCATCCAGGTTTTTATGTCTTCAAGACATGCCTGTAATCTATGTAATGGGTTAGCTTCATCTGGATTTATAGACAGATATAGCTGGGTATCATCAGCATAACAGTGGAAATTAATCCCATGCTGTCTAATAATTCTACCAATTGGGAGCATGTATAAAGTAAAGAGAATTGGTCCTAGCACTGATCCCTGTGGTACTCCACAGGTAACCTTTGAGCGTGTTGAAGATCTATCATTAACATGAACAAACTGAATTCGATCAGATAGATAAGATTTAAACCAGTCTAGTGCTGTTCCTTTAATTCCAACAAAATATTCAAGTCTTTCTAAAAGAATATTATGGTCAACTGTATCAAATGCAGCACTAAGATCCAACAGGACGAGCACAGATACAAGTCCATTATCTGAGGCCATGAGAATATCATTAGTGACTTTCACCAGAGCTGTTTCAGTGCTATGATGAGCTAAACTAAGGCTTAGGCTGCTGGAGGACAGAGGGACAACTTTTCATCATTCTACTTAATTCTACTTAATTCTATCTCTCTCGTACAATTCTGCATTATTTGTTGATTTAACCCCTAACTTTATGTTATTTCTTTCTATTACCTCAAAACAACAACTTGTAAGTTGAGTAACTCACCTACGATGATTGTGCGAGTGGTGCTTTCCTTATGGTTTTTATTTTGTATTTGAGTTCTAACACTGACATCTATTATGTTTATAATCCTTCCTGTTAATTCCATAAGTAGGCCCTCGATAGTCAAGCCGAAGAGTCGATGCACGATGGAGCAGATGGAGCTTCAGTGTGCAGGACTAGATTTATTTTTGTATACACTCTGTGTTTACAAAATGACACTAAAGTCTGTCTAAGTCTAGGTCTAAGTCTAGGATTAGATTGGAAATAGGTCTGTTCATAGAATAATATTACTGTCATTTATAATTACATAGACATGTTGTTTTAGAAAAACAGATTGGTTTTAAACTGCTAATACAGTGTTTATACATAAAATCATGGTTGTATATGATGAAATAAATGACAATAAAAGTAGTCTTAGTCTAAATAAAAACCTCTCTAAACTATCTGCCAGGCTGAATTAGAACCTCCAGCCTCCTCCTGACCTTTAGCAGTCATTCTGCAAAAACAATCTGCTAAGAATCTCCAGTTGTTTTATTATGACAATAAATGTTTCTGTATAATCTTTGGCCAGATTTAGTAATACACTGTTATGTTAGGTCCAAAGAGTACGGAAGAGGATTAGGGCCACTAAAAAAAAAAAAAAAAAATTGTTAACTGATTTTTAAATTTTATTTCAGTTTAACATCTCAGAATTCTGACTGTAATCTCAGAATACTGATTTTTTTTCAGAATTCTGACAGCTAACAAACATGTTAGCATCAATCCATAGCCATGTCTGTTTTAGAGACTAGCTCTCTTGTTTTAATGACCTTCTGCTCCTCCATTAATGGGAAGACCCCTCGGGCACGTAAAAAGTTGACTAATTCCTTCATTTTCCACCAATGTGTCACTGGCCACCTCAAACAGCTCACATCTTTGTCAGTGAAGCTGAGTGCTCCACATCTCTTCCTTCATGGAGCCCATCTACATTAAGATCAAAAATTTAAATTTAAAGTCAGAATTCTGAGAAAAAAGTCAGAATTCTGAGATTAAAGTCAGAATTCTGAGATTAAAGTCAGAATTCTGAGAAAAAAGTCAGAATTCTGAGATTAAAGTCAGAATTCTGAGAAAAAAGTCAGAATTCTGAGATTAAAGTCAGAATTCTGAGAAAAAAGTCAGAATTCTGAGATTAAAGTCAGAATTCTGAGAAAAAAGTCAGAATTCTGAGATTAAAGTCAGAATTCTGAGAAAAAAAGTCAGAATTCTGAAATTAAAGTCAGAATTCTGAGATTAAAGTCAGAATTCTGAGAAAAAAGTCAGAATTCTGAGATTAAAGTCAGAATTCTGAGAAAAAAGTCAGAATTCTGAGATTAAAGTCAGAATTCTGAGAAAAAAGTCAGAATTCTGAGATTAAAGTCAGAATTCTGAGAAAAAAGTCAGAATTCTGAGATTAAAGTCAGAATTCTGAGATTAAAGTCAGAATTCTGAGAAAAAAGTCAGAATTCTGAGATTAAAGTCAGAATTCTGAGATTAAAGTCAGAATTCTGAGAAAAAAGTCAGAATTCTGAGATTAAAGTCAGAATTCTGAGATTAAAGTCAGAATTCTGAGAATAAAGTCAGAATTCTGAGATTAAAGTCAGAATTCTGAGAAAAAAGTCAGAATTCTGAGATTAAAGTCAGAATTCTGAGAAAAAAGTCAGAATTCTGAGATTAAAGTCAGAATTCTGAGAAAAAAGTCAGAATTCTGAGATTAAAGTCAGAATTCTGAGATTAAAGTCAGAATTCTGAGAAAAAAGTCAGAATTCTGAGATTAAAGTCAGAATTCTGAGATTAAAGTCAGAATTCTGAGAAAAAAGTCAGAATTCTGAGATTAAAGTCAGAATTCTGAGAAAAAAGTCAGAATTCTGAGAAAAAAGTCAGAATTCTGAGATTAAAGTCAGAATTCTGAGAAAAAAGTCAGAATTCTGAGATTAAAGTCAGAATTCTGAGAAAAAAGTCAGAATTCTGAGATTAAAGTCAGAATTCTCCCATGTTAAACTGAAATAAAATTTTAAAATCAGTTAACTTTTTTTTTTCCAGTGGCCCTAATCCTCTTCCGTAAAAGAGTCACTGGCAGGTTTTGAAAATAATTTATCTGTTTTCTCGGATTTTGTTATCTAAATTTTTTATTGTTTTAATTTCCTTAGTTTTTTTTTGTATGTTTTATTTCTGTTTTCCTTTTAGATAAAGTTTTACGAATGTCATTCCTTCAAATTGCATTTCTAAATCAATTCTCTTCACCTCTGGGACAGTAAGAAGCAAAGGTGCATTTCTATTGGTCTGCTTGCACATTAGCAACATTTTAATTGGTCAATGTGTGCGTCAAGAGAGAGTGTTTATATTGAGCCTAAGGTGAAGAGAATGTGAAATTCACTAACAAAAGAATGAAATTCGCAAATATCTAAACCTCAAAAATAAAATAAAAAATCTGGAAAAAAATATTTTAAATAAAGACATAAAAAATGTAAATTAGTAAAGACAAATAAAAAATGTAAAATCTGTTTTTATTTTCCGAAAAAATAAATGTAAACTGAATTTTAATAAAAAAAAAAAATACTGTTCTTTGTTTTTTGGATGTTCTTGCTTTCAAAATAAAAGAACAAAATTCACTCCATAAATCTAAAGCAAAGAATCACAATATGTGAAGTATATAAATGATTCAACCCGACAAGATGTTGATGTTTGCTTCTCTCCTATTCCAAAAATTATGATTGTAACAAGAAATCTGTTTGTCTACAGTTTTTCTCAGCACTTTGAATGGTCCTGTACTAAGTGGTGCAATATAAACAAACATGCCTTGTCTTACCTAATGTATGATTTGTTAAGCTCACTCATTAAAAATGATACCATAATGTACAGGCACACACAAAATGTTCAACATGCACATGGAGAGAGTAGTTTACGTGTTTGTGTTTTAATTGATACCTTTTGTATGAGTATTTTTCATCTGTTGTCGTCTGAACCTTTGGCAGAATTCTCATCTCATAGCAGTTGTTCACAGTTATGGGTGTGGCATTTGGAAGACAGAACTTTAATGCTTTTGTTTGCAGGAAACTGGACTTTATGAGTACAAAGTCTTCGGTGGGCTCGGCAGCTGCAACCCAGAGCTCTGCGCAGACGTCTACATGGACTTGATGTATCGGAAACATTGGGACGGATATGTTAAAGGTATAAGAACCAAAACCCCAGTGAGGGGAATTCTAACACCTGTTGGAACACATACTGTATGCTATTAAAAAAAATTATAAATCATAATATCTCAGCCAGTTTCAGCATTTTTCCTATATTTGTGTCTTCTTTCAAACATGCATGTCTGCAGTAACATTCAGGTAACATGTAGCTTCAGCCTGTAGTGTCAGCCTCTGAAGGAATGGTCCAGTTTTGATGTCATTTGGTTGATCTGCAGATACAGGCTTACAGGTGCAAACGTGCTGCAAACACATGAATGATGCACGCTATTTAACCCTTTAAAGCCTGATCCAAGAATAAAACAAAACAGAAAATTCCTTTTTTTTGGTTTGAAGTCCTTATTTGGCCTTTTAACAAAATATGTAAAAAGAAAAAACAGAAATATATTTTTGATAGTAATAATTTATTAATATGCGATAAGTCAAGATTATTTTTTGTGTAGTCTTCTGCCCTCTGCTATCAGGAATATCTGATTGTGTACAATAGGATTTTGAGCAAAATTTTTACCATTAAATTATACAAAAGGTGTCAGACGCAAAACATTTTAGAAACCGTATGTATCAAATACGATACATTTGGCATTATAGGGTTAAGAAAAAAAAATACAATCCAAACTTGCAACAAAATGTAACAGATTTGCAGCTTTTAGTTGTTTGCTTTAATTTTGTGCATGTCGGCCACCGTTGGTTTGATTTTCCAAGGAGCTGATTAGGTTAAAATGATTCAAATGTGCTGCAGAAGCTGCAGGATTGGATAGTCTCTCTATATGTAAACTGAAGCTGGATGTGAATGAAAGCACAAGCTCATCCTGACTGAAGGCCGTGTTTTAACGTCCATTAATCTTTAGCCCTTTCTAAGGCGGAACCTGAAGGGAATACACATCTTTACGCCTCAACAGAAGCCATAGCCGACACAACTTATCGGGACCAAAAGAAGGGTCCTGATTTTACACTTAGGTCCTCACTTTATAAGTAAAATTAAAAAGAAAAACACATCCTACACAAATGCCAGTATAAGTACACATGTTTCATGAAACATGCTGCAAAAAGATTCATCCAAACTTGACCATTCCTTCCTAGTTTTCCCTCAGGGCTTCAGAGTTTATCATATCTTAGACTTTTAATGCTGCTTGTTTAGTTTTCTACCTTTTTCTGCAGGACCTTTAGAATATGGAGTTTTATTTTGCTCTTTGTTTCCCCTTTTTAGGTTGAAGCTTAGTTGGATATGCTGCTTGTCTGGTTTTATGTTTACATAACCGGCTGTTAAAGGCTGATTATCCTCCCGCAGCAGTGTCTCACAGGTTTTTTAGATGTATGCCCAATATTGAAGCATGGTCTGCGCTATTATATACCACGCAACAACGCAAGAGGGACAATCACATATTAGCTGTGGGTCTAGATATGGCCGAGGCGGTGAGGGCAAGTTTGTGCAACAATGGAGGGACATGAGGGCCAAAAACAGCAGGGATCTGTGCACCTCGCTCTTCTAGTGGGTCCAACTTCACGAGTCGTTTTCAACAATGAAGGTCATACAAACAAAACCAGCCGGTAAGGTACCAAACAGGAAATATGCATAGTGTAGAGCGGATGGAGATTTGACCAATCAGAGGCCTCCTGTCTGCAGCACTGTCTGCGGTCACCTACAATTTTGGAGAGGTGCACCAGGGGGAAGGGGCGGGGGCACATTTGCGTTCACTGCGACACAGACGACCTGGTTTCGAGGTATAAATCAGCCTAAAGTTGGGAGTGGCAGCCTCATGGTAAAGGCATAGAGCTGGGAATCCTGAGGTTCTGAGTTCGAGCCCCACTCCCACAGACTGCCACTCTGGGTCTCTGAACAATACCCTTAACCCCACACTTCTCCCTGGGCGCCCAATGATGGCAGCCCACTGCTCCCAAGGATGATTGGTTAAATGCAGAGGTAATTTCTTACTGGGGAGTGGTGGACTAATGGTTAGGGAATAGAGCGTCGAATCCTGAGGTTGTGAGTTCAAAACTGACTCCCACAGACTGCCACTCTGGAGCCAAAATGCATTCCTTAGGGGATGGGTTAAATGCAGAGAGTAAATTTTGTTGTGATAGTATAATGACACTGGAATATAGAGCAACACTGTCGCTCTAGGGGCTCTAGATCTTTAAATTCCAGCTTTAGCTCCCTTTTAACACTGTACACAACATTTTCGAGCCTCCCTACACGTTTTGGAGTCTGCTAGACCATTTTGAACCAGCAGACTGAGTCTAGCTCCCAAAAATCAAATCCAAAATATCTTGTATGCAAAACTAAATTCTGTGTCCGACTCCCGGTTCTCCCTGGAAGAGGCGGCGCTTAGGAGGCATCCGATCAGATGCCAGAACTTTACTTAGCTCCTAACTTTGGAGGTGGTCCCAGGTCCTCCAGTTTCTCCTATTAGCAAGTATTTAATATGCATGTTTACAAGAGCATTTAGAGATGTGTTGGTTTGAATGTTTTTGAAAACGTCGACAATTAAAATCTAAAACCAAATAAAACTGGCCCAGTAATGAAGTAAGTTGCAGCTTTTGGAGAGTTATACCTTTTAAAGTAATTAATGCAGCGTCAGTGATAGTGCTGGCAGTGTTAGTGTGCTCCCTTAAGGCTATCAGAGCTGTGAAATTATCTTGTAAATTAGTACATTTGTTATATTTTAATAAGTGGAGTTCAGTTTTATTGAATTTCTCTTTACATGTGTTTATTCAGAGCTCTATGAGAAGGACTTTGGTGGACAAACGGCGATCTACTGGGAAGTGAAGTACCCGTTTCCTCTGTCAAACAGAGATGTATCCTTTGGCTCTGTTACAATCCTTTTTTTTCTCATGGCTGTTCAACAGTTCGGTTCAAATAAATACGTATTTTTTCTTAAAACAATGGATTTTTTTTCTTGAATTGAGGAGGTACACTGTAAAAAATGGAAATCTAGATAAGTCATTTTTTTCCTAAAATAAGTGCATTATTTCTTGAATTGAGGAGGTAATTTAGACACTTTGCCAACAGAACAAGACAATTTACATTTAAAATAAGAAAAATACAATTTAATCGTCTTATATCAACTTTATATTATCAGAACCTTATTTTAAGTGTAAAAATCCTAATTCTATTAGCAAATCGTCTTATTTACCTACTCAAATTAAGGGGAAATAAACTTAATTTAAGATATTTTGACTTAATTCTAGATCGTTTTTGCAGTGTAAGTGACACATTTTGCCGATGGAACAAGACAATTTACATTTAAAATAAGAAAACTATTATTTTGTCTTATTTTCAGTGCATACTATCTAATTATCTTATTTTGGGAGTAATATACTCATTCCATTGGCAAATCATCTCATTTACCTACTCAAATTAAAGGTAAATACATTTATTTTAAGAATTTTTAAAACTAATTTCTAGATTGTTTTTGCAGTGCATTGGAAAAACTGTCTAATAATAAGTAAAAATCCCTTAAATGAAGTGTATTTACCCTTAATTTAAGCAGGTAAATGAGATAGTATGCCAATGGAATGAGTTTATATTCTTAAAATAAGATAATTAAATAACATACACTTGAAATAAGACAATGCAATTGTGTTTTCTTATTTTAATTGTAAATTGTCTTGTTCCATTGGCAAAATGTCTCTTTTACCTCCTCAATCCAAGAACAAATGCACTTATTTTAAGAAAAAACGACTTATCTAGATTGCGATTTTGTTCCAGTGTGTTATTCGAGGTGATTATATTCCCTAACTACTTAAATTTCAGTATGTGTATGTAAGGGAGCGAAGAGACCTGGACATCGATGGGAGAAAGATCTGGGTGATTCTGGCCAGAAGCTCACCACAGACGGCCTGTGCAGAGAAGAAAGGTGTGCTGAGAGTCAACGACTACAAGCAGAGCGTCGCCCTGGAGAGCGATGGAGCCAGTGGCACTAAAGGTGACCTATTGGGAATCATGGAAAACCTGAATCTGGATTAATGATTTGAATTATTTTTCCTTTATTCATTACTTTAATAATGATTAATTAAATATAAAAAATGCAATATTTTACAAGACAAAAAAAAAAAAAAAAAAGCTTTCTGGTGATCCTTAAAGCTCTGTTATCCTCTATTTTTGTCAGTATTATAAAGAACATCCCCTCTTGCCACACCTATGTTAATCAATTTTATACATTTACATGAAATTCTTAACACAGGCTCCTCCATATTAATGGAGAAAAACTCAGTGTTCTCATTTATCAAACTCATCTAATCATAAACAGGGCCTAAAACTTGCATACACCGACTTCCACACAAAAGTTGTGATTTATGAGGACAATAAAACATGCTGTTTTAAAATATTCGGCCCCTCATTCAGACTCTGACCCAACCGTACAGGTACTCCTATTTTTGGAGAGAGAAGAGAAACTGGTGACACAAATGGTGACTGAGGGGAAACTGAGGTCAGATTGCATCATAATTTCTAGCTGACATTTAATTTCACTTCCTATGAATCCAAACTGCAGGGATCTTTGCTGTTTAAGCTGCCACAAAATGCCTAACCTGACTCCGCCAGATGGGTTTGCTCCGCATATCCATCTGGAAACCTTCCGTTGAAGTGATTTTGGGAAGGGGCGAAAATACTGGTTAGCTGATTGGCCTATGTTGGTGATAGACGGGCCAAATAAACCAATCAGATCAACGAAGCATATGACGTACTAACAGCCAGGCTACTCTTGCCAAAACCAGTCGGGAGAAGAGCAAAAACATCTTTTCCTCTGAGAAAAGCCTCCACACTGGAAAAAAATCTCAATCAAGATAAGTCATTTTTTCTTAAAATAAGTGCATTTGTTCTTGGATTGAGGAGGTAAAAGATACATTTTGCCAATGGATCAAGAGAATTTACACTTAAAATAAGAAAATACAATTGCATTGTCTCATTTCAAGTGCATTTTTATCTAATTATCTTATTTTAAGTATCAAAATACTCATTCCATTGGCAAATCATCTCATTTACCTGCTCAAATTAAGAATAAATACACTTAAATTAAGGAAATTTTACTTACTTCTAGATTGTTTTTCCACTCCAGAGCAGTGTTTTGCTCTTCTTTCAGTGAAGAAATACTCTGTAATTCCGATAAAACTTCCTCGATAGCCACGCTAACGCTAGTTTCATCGGCTGAAGCCGCCATGCTCTTTAGACTGAACTGTCGCGCTTCTCGTTGCGTCACACCTCAACCCGCCTCAAAGCCAACGCTGATTGGACGTTCGTTTGGTGAACGGCTCCACATTTTCTTCAACGGAGAGTCTCCAGACTGATCTGCGAGTGAACCCTTGAAAGCTCGTGAGATCAGGATGGTCTCACGAGGCTACAAAATCCCATCTTAAACAGAAGTCAATTGTGCACATATTTAAATGTTTCCTCTCTCCTATGGAAGCAATTGTGTCCCAATTATCTATTTAAAATAGATTAATAGAAATGCTTTTCCATTTCTTGACTTAAAAAAATGAGATAAAAAAAATAGCATTTTAATTTTCTTCTTCAATCTGCCTGCAGTTGGATTGAACTACATTTCTGTTTCTAGTGGTTGGGTAAAAGATGAGGTGATGAATCTAATTGTGGCGAAACAATGGCTGTTTCTCAATATGTGTACTTGTGCGTTCTCGTGTGCTCGTGAAACGTCATCAGCCTCAGCCCAAGTACTGTTCCAATTCACAAGAGCACAAGACCGTGAACGGACAAATGTTGTTCTCACCCCTCCCTCTTTACCCAGCATGCATCAGAGCAGACTTGTCTGTTCTTAAGACTGACAGCTGGCCGCTGGCTCTCATGGCGAGTTTTTTTGTTTTATTTGGCAAAATGTTAATTATTATTCCCCCACTAAATGAAAAAAGTCAGAATTTATTAATATCTAGAGATTATTAATAACAGGAGATAAATTGCAGCTCCAGACGAGCCGAGCGTGTGGTGATGTCATCAGTACGCTTCTGTTCCAATTGACTCATATTTATGCTGCGTGCTCCCGTTCTCAACAAGTCCAGACTTTCCTGTGATCTTCTCAAGAACAAACTTGGCGAGGACACGAGTCCGTACTCGCGTTCTTGTGAATTGAGAAGCGGCCAATATCATAACCCGATGTTGAAAATAAGAAGCCTTTACATTTAATTTTGTACAGTATTCCTGCAGTCTGGAATAATATAACGCCATCTTTATCTGGAATTTTGTTGTGTTTTTTTTTTTTTTTTTAGATTACGTGCTACTTACCATCAAAGAACAATGAAAGTAAAACAAAAAATCCAAATTAGAGTTATTTACATATCTAAAGCTGAAAAAAATAGCTGTGGAAGTAGATCAGGATCCCATTACTGGGCAAAATGTGGTACAGAAAACTGATATAACAGAAAGGACGTAAAAAAAACTTTTTTATTTACCTGTTATATATTGTAGTTTGGTACGAGTTTACTTGCTTTTTAGAAAAAGTGTTTTGGTCTTTTTTCAATGAATTGCAATGCATGGCGACCTGCACAAATGATCTGCTGGTAAAGATTATGATGCAACTACGGAGCAGTTACTTCTGCAAATCATTGTTTTTGTTGTTGTTTTTTTTTTTTTATTTAATCCATGGCGAACTGATATTAAATAGGCCAAACATGAGGTGGAGTCTTGAGACACGACTGTGATCTATAAAGGAAAATTGCCTGGTTTTGTGCGTGAGCAAATCAATTCAATTCAGTTTATTTCTATAGCTCCAATTCACATCATGTCATCTCAGGTCACTTTCCAGATCAACCAGATCATCCAGTCAGATTGATTCAAAATTTTCTATCTAAGGAAAACCAGCTGATTGCATCGACTCATTGACTCTTCAGCAATCCCTCACACTGAGCATGCTTGTAGCGACAGTGGAGAGGAAAAACTCCCTTTTAACAAGAAGAAACCTCCAGCAGAACCAGGCTCAGTGTGAGCGGCCATCTGCTGAGGCCCACTGGGGTTCAAGGAGACAGAAGCAGACATAGAAAAAGAAGCATAGATACAAAAGGCAGCTGTCAACCAGCTCCACAGGCGGCCCGTCCAGGAAACACACAGCCAGGCAGACGAGCTCCGAGCCAGCTCCCATGTCAGAGGATGAAGAGAGCACATCCAGTTAGAGAAACAGGACTACACTGAAAAACAGGCCGATCTCGAACATCTATAAATGAGCATGGTTTTAATAATAAGGATTTTTTCTGGCATACTCCATTCTCTGGTATTTGACATACGTACTCTTTTACTATGGACTCCACACAGTGTTTTATAAATGATACCCGGGTGATGTAAAATTGAAGACCAGCTCAGAAACTAGATTCACTTTTTAAAAATGAATGCTACATCTGTTTAGTTATTTGATGTGATTCTTAAGTTTCCTCTAATGTCTTCCTTTGCCTCTAAAAAAGTGCCATAAATTCCCTTTTGCCCCCATCAACTTGCTGTGTTTTTTTAAAATCTTTAGTTAATTTTGATCTCAAACTCAAGTTTTTAATACTTTGGTCAGTAACTTACTGATCTTTTGATTTCTTCTTTTATTATTTTTTTATGTATTTTTTGTAGTTTGTGTTCTGAACCCTTTTTTTAATGATTAATCTCATGTTTCAGTGTTCATGAACTACTTCGACAACCCTGGTGGAATGATTCCTACCTGGCTGGTGAACTGGGCAGCTAAGGTGAGAACAGTTCGATCTGATATCGTATGAACAAAGTCCTCTGATGGGAATGTTTGCAAACTATGGAGTCATAAAAGATCCAAGCAGAAAGAATCAACACAATCATAAAGACACTTGCTGGAATACTTGATAACCACGGCCTTATTAACTCCACCAAGGAGGCAATGCTTATTTTGGTGTTGGTTTGTACTTTTGTCTTTTTTCAAAATAACTATAAAAGTTATTGCCAAGTTCAGAACAGTAGGATCCAGTATTCAAGCCGGACAAACAGATTTTTCAAAATGTTTATTAAAAACAGGACTAAAGAGAGCAGAATGGGTGTCTAAGGCCAGAGGGTCTGCAGGAGAAGACAGCTGATTATTGACGGCGTCTTTCTGGAAGTGAATGATACTGTAACGATCATGTGAATTACTAACCAGGTCTTATAGTTAAGTCCACGCCTAGACGGTGAGGTTGGTTCCAGCTGGTCAGCTGCCAATGTGACGCAGCGGTTTCGGCACAGAGAGTCCCAGACGCTGATGTATGGGTGGTCGGAGGACTGGCAGGAGATAAGAGCTGAACAGATGAAGGTTGGCAGGATATTCTAGAGCAGCTGTCCCCAACCTTTTTTGCATTTTCCACTATATGTCAGACAATATTTTCACGGACCGCCCGGGTGGTGAGGGGGGATACGATCCAGTAAAATGATACGACTGGCATAAAATCAAATACAGACAGCATAAAAATAAAACAACAAGCCGGTCCCATCTAGGCTTAATCTTAGACAATGACACATGAAGTGTCCTCCTGATGTCCAGTCTGCTCTGTAGCTTTGTTTTGGTCGCTGTAACCGCAGAAAATCCCGCTTCACAAAGATAGGATGTTATAGATAGGATGCGTCTTGAACTGAATTAACCTGTGTCAAGAGGCACAGATGCACCGACTGATGTAATTGGGAGAGAATACCGCAATTTGTTTATATTTTTCAAAATAAAACATCACCCAGACTCTGATCGTCGATAAAATATATATATATATATATATATATATATATATATATATATATATATATATATATATATATATATATATAATATATATATATATATATATACTTTTTTCTGTGCGGTCCAGTACCAAAATGACCCACGGACCGGTACCGGTCCGCGGCCCGGTGGTTTGGGACCGCTGATCTAGAAACCAAAACCGTCAGAGCCAGGAGATCAGAGGTCCAAAGAGATGCCGAGTTTAATCCGGACAGAGTCGGCTAACAGATCCAGGTTCGATAAACTGAGATCCAGCAGGAGTCAGCAGACGGGTCAGGCAAACAGATCAGATGGGGACAGGCAGGCTCAGAGGTGGAGAGGCAGAACAGGTCAGGAACAGACAATCAGAGATACAGGAATGCCAGAAAACGTCTGGAACTGATGACTTATCTGAAAGATTCTGTGAAGGTTTTAACTTAAGATAGAAGTCTCAATAGCTAATAGCTAATATGGAAATGTTACCTAATAATGGTTGATTTTCCTGATTAAAAGTCGGCAGAAAGAAGATTTTTCTGTAACTCTTTCTGTTAGATGCTTTAAAGTCACCCTTAAAAAAGCCACCCTTCTTGACCCTTTAGCACAATGACACCCAGTCTGGGTGTGACCTGTACTTGTGCACAGCTGTGTAACTTTTTCTTAAATGAAAAAATACCAAAAAGTTATATTATTTGTTTTTGATGAATCAAATGATTGATATGAACCAAATAACAAGCAAATTAAACCAAATATTTGATTTTCTTTCACTTATTTCTAAAATAGCAGGTTCTGTAAAACAAACAAAAATTTTTGTATGAAAATGTAGAAAGAAAAAATAAACCGTTTATTGAGATTGACTTCTTGACTTCCGTACTGGTCATTTGGTAAAGTATGACACCATTTAAACAATAGATGGCGCTTGTTATACCTCGGGTCTCATTAAAGGTGATGGCAGTTATCTTTTTGTACTGTTTGCCAGTCGGCTAACCAATTAAAACCTTTAACTAGTCCACAAGGAAAGCAGCAACCTCTGCGTAGCATCTTAAGTCGGCACCAGTCTCTAAAGTTTGACTGATGTTCATCCTTGTTTTGCTCAAATGTTTTTACAGTTTGGACCTGTCAGAAAGTATAAAACTATAGTTTTAGTCAAATAATTTTGCACCACTTTAGACATCATGAAGGTGTATTAGTATTATTATTATAGTTTGGGATAAATTAATAATTTTAATAAAAAAGTAAAAAAAACTCCTTCCTAATGATAGACATGAGCAGGGATGCAGAATTCAGACCCTTTGGTTTCCCATAGATCTGATCCCATAGTTTCCCACCATATTGATGTCAAGTTTAAAACTGATTAATCCAACGTTAATCTGTTCAAACGTTTACGCTTCCAGCTTTATTCTGCTCTCCATCATTAATCAGAAATTTTTCCCACACCCTAAATCTCTCCTGCTGCATGTTTGGATATTCTGTGTTTACTGCTGACCTGGGGTGAAGGGGCCTCTGGGAGCTCTCTGTCCTTCCCTCTGCTCCATTATTCTCCTCATGTTGTTCACTGATGTGTTGCTTTTGTTGCTCCTCCTAGGTGGGTCCATTTGGCTCATCTCCCTGACTAATGTGCGTCTTTCTTTGTTTTGTTTTCTTCCCTTCCAGAGCGGCGTCCCAGGCTTCATTAAGGATTTGCAGACGGCCTGTAGCAATTACAAAACGTACTGCGAGAGGAAATGAGTGCAGCTGAGTGGGGACGGCGGCCCAATCTGGAGAGATTTAATGAGTTTACTTGCAGCTTTGGGTTCTTTGGGTTCTGGGTGACTTCGGCCGGTCGTCCCGTTTTATTGGTCGGGCAAAAGGTGAATCGATTGTATCCTGATGTGCTGTGTTTACCGTGTGAACAATCACGCACTCCTCTCTCTTTGGCATGCAGGAACCTTCAGATGATTTTTCATTTTAATCCATGTAGACTTGAAGATGTGACTCATTCCGTTTGGCTGGATTTGCTGAGGCAATCTCCCCTCTGCCTGTTGACCTTTTGTGTTGAGATTGAATGTCTTTTAACCTCGACTCCGTTGGGATCTTTTGCTGTTTCAAATCACTGGGATTTGATTATTTCTGCAAGGAGGTGAATTTTCTAAAAACTTTCACAGGTGCAGAACTTTTGCAGTGCAGCTCATGGCTTCTTTATGATCTGAGATATTGGATTGTTTTAAGGTGAACACCTGTACCTCAGTGTCATTTTCTTCTGCAGCTGTATTCATAAAAATAAATTCAGTTTTAATTATTTAATGCTTCTCGTTTACTCTTTCATAAAAAGGTAACATACTGGTTCATTAGACTAGAGAAAGGTTTCCTTTACAAGTTAAGATCCAAATGATGTTCTCCTTAGTTAGAAGGATAAAAGGAAAAAACAATTAAATAAAAAAAGATAAAAAAAATAAATAAATAAATAAGAGATGCTGGTCTTCCAGGTCATAACCTGGATGACTGAGAGAGTTTAGAGAAAAGATGTCAGAAAAAGCTTCGAACTCAACGCTATTTCTGAGATTTTGAATTGAAAAAGCTTCCTGGATAGGAAGCGAAACATCCTCAAACTTTTACTTTTTTGGAAATGAAGAGATGTTTAGTTTTTACTTTTAATTTCAACAATAATATCCACATTTGGAGTGAGATTGTTTTCACAATCATATTTTGATCTCTGAGGTGTATCTGAACCAAATTTCCTCCAAACACTAATTTAAAATCATTGAAATTAGAATCTGCGCTGGAAAAAAAATCGAAATCTAGATAAGTTGTTTTTTCTTAAAATAAGTTTATTTGTTCTTGGATTTAGTAGGTAAAAGCGAGATTTTGCCAATGGAACAAGACAATTTACACTTACAATAAGAAAACACAATTGCATTGTCTTATTTCAAGTGCATTTTATCTAAATTTGTTATTTTAAAAGCAAAAATACTCATTCCATTGGAAAACTATCTCATTTACCTACTCAAATTAAGCTTAAATACACTTAATTTAAGACATTTCTAATTATTTTTATATCCTTTTTCCAGTGTGAGGTGTTGTACAGCATGGCCAAAATTATTTTATTTAATTTATGTTTATTTATTTATTTCACAGAGAGAGTGTACATTAATAAGCATTCCTGCAAATGCACCAGAATTAGCCAAAAGGTTGTTTTTCATCTGTTGTCCCTGGACAGATCTTAAAATTGATTACCTAAAAACACATCAGTAAGAATTTTACATTGAAAATACAAATATAAAAAATAAATAAAGACATCTTTTAAAAACTTGTTTAAAAATACAGAATAAATTTTTGCTGAACTGCAGATTTGGGGTTAATAAAATAGAATAAAACATTCAAATAAAAATAATTAAACTCTCTCTCTCTCTCTATCTATAGATATATATATATATCTATAGATAGATAGATAGATAGATAGATAGATAGATAGATAGATAGATAGATTGGTTGTTGAAATAATCAACTCACTCATAGAAGTAATGAGATCAAAACTGTTTAAAAAAGAAACATTAAAATAAAAAACTCATTTATGCTCCATTCCAGAACTTCAGGGACAGTTTTAGATCCACCAGGTTTATATTCTCTTTGCAGGTTCTATAAGGCACTTTTTGCCATCTGGTAATCAATGAGTTAAATGAGAAAAAAGCAAACAGATGAAATGATTAGTAAAATTTATCTATTGCAGATCTAATGTCGATCCAGAAGAGAGAAGGTCAGTTTCCTCCATATTCAATGAGACGGTGGGTAGAAACCTGACCTTAGACTTTAGAGCTGAGGTTCTCTTTCCTGGTGATTTAAATAAATGTTAAACTGTAAACTGTATATCTAAAACAAAAATAAAGATAATTAGTTAAAGTTTAGTAGTTTTATTTTGAATAAAGTCTCACTTGCATTTCCAAACCATTTAGTTGTCTGACTGTTACTGTTTTCCAATAATAACACATATACCTCTGCTAGGCGTATGAGACAAAAAATATTATCTTTATTTATTTTAAAAAATAAAGATTCCAAATGTTAGAGCTGGGGTCAGAGTCTGACTTTAGGAAAAACAAATGCTTTCGGGTTTTAAACGAAACATATTTTACTAAACATAAAAAATGAAAAGTTTGGAGTGTTTGAGCTCTAAGCAGCAGCTGCTGCTTCTCCTTATCTCTGGTGTTATTCCGCCCCCTGCTGGTCAAATAAAAAAATGAAAATTTCCGCATAACTACAATTTTATTCAAGCTTGTTAAATTATATCTGGATAAATTGATCAGTTTCCCTGATGCTTGACTAGCAGCCTAACACATTAAAGATTTTAGTAAATAACTTTTCATTTTTAAGTCTTTTCAGGATTTGTAGCAATCTGTAGTCTGACCAAAAAAAAAAAAAAGGTTTTTGTCTTGCATCATATTTCTGGATAATATCACAGATTTACTTATTTTACTCATCAAATATTTATTGACTTATGAAGACAAAATGTGCACAAAATTTTCTGAAAATCTTTATACATGTTTAGGTTTACTTGATCATATATATATATATATATATATATATATATATATATATATATATATATATATATATATATATATATATATATATATATATATATATATATATATATATATCACAACGCCTTACATTTAAAATGTAACACTTATACATTTCTGTGATCAGTAGGACCATTTCAGACCTACAGTTAAGCATGGTGGAAAACACTAAACATTCAGAAACCCAGTCTGCTGTGGGGTCCTTATTAAACATCAATGTCATCTTTTAACTTCTGGAATCAAACCTTTAGTTGGTGTGGAAACCCAAACTATATTCTACTTTAGGTTTTTAAATGTTTGCAGCTGGAATCAATTTCCCTCCATTAATGATTCCAAGGAACTGCTGAAGCCTTCAGGTTTGGGATATGAAGCATACAGGTGCTGGTCATAAAATTAGAATATCATGAAAAAGTAGATTGATTTCAGTAATTCCATTTAAAAAGTGAAACTTGTATATTATATTCATACATTACATACAAACTCATATATTTCAGATGTTTATTTTGTTTAATTGTGATGATTACAAATGACAACAAATGAAAATCTCAAATTCATCATATCAGAAAATTAGAATATTACTGAAGACCAATAAAAACAAAGGATTTATAGAAATGTTGGCCAACTGAAAAGTATGAACATGAAAAGTATGAGCATGTACAGCACTCAGTATTTAGTTGGGCCTCCTTTGGCCTGTATTACTGCAGCAATGCGGCGTGGCATGGAGTCGATCAGTCTGTGGCACTGCTCAGGTGTTATGATAGCCCAGGTTGCTCTAATAGGGGCTTTTAGCTCTTCTGAATTGTTGGGTCTGGTGTATTGCATCTTCTTCTTCACAATACCCCATAGATTTTCTATGGGGTTAAGGTCAGGAGAGTTTGCTGGCCAATTAAGAACAGGGATACCATGGTCCTTCAACCAGGTACTGGTAGCTTTGGCACTGTGTGCAGGTGCCAAGTCCTGTTGGAAAATGAAATCTGCATCTCCAAAAAGTTGGTCAGCTGCAGGAAGCATGAAGTGCTCTAAAACTTCCTGGTATGTGGCTGCGTTGACCCTGGACCTCAGAAAACACAATGGACCAACACCAGCAGATGACATGGCACCCCAAACCATCACTGACTGTGGAAACTTTACACTGGACTTCAAGCAACGTGGATGAAGTGCCTCTCTTCTTTTCCTCCAGACTCTGGGACCTTGATTTCCAAAGGAAATGCAAAATTTACTTTCATCAGAGAACATGACTTTGGACCATTCACCAGCAGTCCAGTCCTGTTTCTCTTTAGCCCAGGCAAGACGCTTCTGACGCTGTCTGTGGTTCAAGAGTGGCTTGACACAAGGAATGCGACAGCAGAAACCCATGTCTTTCATACGTCTGTGTGTGGTGGTTCTTGAAGCACTCACTCCAGCTGCAGTCCACTCTTTGTGAATCTCCCCCACATTTTTGAATGGGTTTTGTTTCACAATCCTCTCCAGGGTGCGGTTATCTCTCTTGCTTGTACACTTTTTTCGACCACATCTTTTCCTTCCCTTCGCCTCTCTATTAATGTGCTTGGACACTGAGCTCTGTGAACAGCCAGCCTCTTTAGCGATGACCTTTTGTGTCTTGCCCTCCTTGTGCAAGGTGTCGATGGTCGTCTTTTGGACAACTGTCAAGTCAGCAGTCTTCCCCATGATTGTGTAGCCTATAGAACTAGACTGAAAGACCATTTAAAGGCTTTTGCAGGTGGTTTGAGTTAATTAGCTGATTAGAGTGTGGCACCAGGGGCCATCAATTTTGAACCTTTTCACAATATTCTAATTTTCTGATATGATGAATTTGAGATTTTCATTTGTTGTCATTTGTAATCATCAAAATTAAACAAAATAAACATCTGAAATATATGAGTTTGTATGTAATGTATGAATATAATATACAAGTTTCACTTTTTAAATGGAATTACTGAAATCAATCTACTTTTTCATGATATTCTAATTTTATGACCAGCACCTGTAAGTTTGTTAAAACAGCCTTTGATTTAGATTCTGTGTCATAAAAGAGGAAATCCTCGATAGTGCTGTTCTAATGGAAACTCTGGCGGCACCTAGTGGTTCTACCATGGTATTGCAGCACTTGGTTTTTGAGAGAAGAGTGTTTTTCACATGTCTATAAGCTTTTCTCCCAAACTGAGGATTCTCTTCTTGCAGGCTCCTGGTTATTTATCTGGACTGTTCAGCTGATCACAAGGTGCATAAATAAATAAATAATAATAAAAAGATCCTTAAGGAAGAACTGATTAAAAAAGCTCAGATAAAAGGAAATTCATCTTTTACATTTCAACATGACAAAGCTTCAGAATTTTACTGATCACTTTAGAACCAGAGGACTTTTAAGGTCAGCAACTGCAAATCAAACCTCAGCCCACATCATCAGCCCTCCACTGTCATGCTTTACAACATGGTTCTTTACTTATTAATAGTTTGTATCAATCAACTTATGATTATTTGATAAGGGGCCATAAAAAAAAACAAAACACTGACTTTTCTCTTGTATGAAGAGGAGCCATTAACATAAGGGCTTAAACATTTTTACAATATGCCAAATTACAAATAGTAGGTCCTACATAATTGTATTTGAACAATTCAATGTCATTATTAAACACTGACCGAATAAAATATACAAATGTTTTTTGACTCATTACTGAACGAGATGTCTTTAGAAAATACAACGAAATAGGAACATTTCAGGTTAC